CAAATGTGATACTGAAGGGTGTCTAAAAGCAAGAGAATAGTTATTTGATGCATTAAAAAGTAGAAGAAAATAACACAGGTTAAGATGTTAGCCTCCTAGAGAAAAATCCTGTGTTGAACAGAAAGCCACAGTTTGAGCTTAAAGTTGCAGACAAACTAATCCGTCACAGGAGAAATCAGAGAAGTTTTGCAAAGGAGTATAACAAATTAAGACATTTAGCTTAATAATTATTAAAGCTATGTTTGAAAATGTTACTAACATTATAATAATTTATTAATCACTAGTTAATTAAAATGAAAACCATAACTCAACGATTTATATTAGTATATATAAAATGACATGAGTATTAAGGTATTTGGAACATTTTTATCATTCTACAATGACTAAATCAACATTTATAAAGGACCACAGACAGCCTTCTCTCCTGAAAACTGTATCCAGAAAAAGAATCAATCATTTATTAAGAAACTAGTAAACACTTTGTCAGAAGTTTTGGCACGGCTACAAGGAGTGGGATTTCTATGAAACTGGGGTAAGCCAGATTGAGGTAATAAATTGGGAATGCAGAGATGTCAAAACATGGTTATTTTAGACAAGGACATGTAGAAAAGTCATGCTAAAAGGTCGATTTAAAATGAGGAATCAATTTTCCTTGGGAAAAAAAACCCCGACTTGTTTTTTTTTTGGTCTTCAGACTGTCCCCTAAACTACTTGAAGATAATAAACCCTAAGTCATAAACAAAATAATTCAACTTTATTAAGAGTGCAGTCATTTCACTTTAGAGCAAATGCCACACTTGAACATTAAGAGTATGACTGAGGGCTTCCCTGGTGGCGCAGTGGTTGAGAGACCGCCTGCCGATGCAGGGGACACGGGTTCGTGCCCTGGTCCGGGAAGATCCCACATGCCGCGGAACGGCTGGGCCCATGAGCCATGGCCGCTGGGCCTGCGCGTCTGGAGCCTGTGCTCCGCAGCAGGAAAGGCCACAACAGTGAGAGGCCCACGTACCACAAAAAAAAAAAAAAAAGAGTATGACTGAAAGGTTCCATAGGCATCACACAGCAGACCCTGAACGCGCGGCAGGTCCTCTCTACAGGGAAGCACACGAAACCAATCAAGCAGCCAGCTTGGGGCTTATGCTGTTCTTCCTGCTGGAAGCTCACATGCTGTCTTGCCCCTGCAGCAAGCAATGGGCCCAGGGCCTTTTCTACCTTTATGATGTAAGTTAGGGAGTTTTATATATGATACTCTCAAAGTATTTCAAAACATCTATTCATTCAATAAATGTTCAAACTGCCAAGCATGACTTTACACACAGAGAATTATGAGATTTATATGGTAGTGATTTGGCTAAAATTTTATCTTACTAATTTCAACTGTGAAATAATCCTTCTATAGTTATATACTCATGAAGTTTTCTTTTTCTTTCTTTCTTTTAACTATAAAAGTAATCAGCTTCATGCTGATTACGTAGATCTATGCTGATTACGTAGATCCCGGTCATAATGCTTCTACATATTTGTGGCGATTGAATTTTCATCTTTCTCCTTTTCGGTTGTAGATTTGTCATAATAGTCCTTTGCTTTATTAGCCCCATTTTATTTTGCCTTTCTTTGGGCTGAGAAAATAACATGTGAATTAGGAAAACATGATTTAATAAAAACGACGACGGTAGTTCTGAGATTTAAGTTAATACTGCCTCTCAGCCACTAGGCTATGCTAAAGGACAGTCCATTTGTTCACGAACACTTCTGTCTTCCAGCCACCCAAAAAAGGAAGGAAGATAAATTCTAAAGCTGAATGTGAATTATTTAACCACTTAAAACCTAGCTGGAAATTCATTTAACAGATTTATATAAGAGTTTATGTAATTAGTTTATATGACATACCCCCAAAGAACAAATGAACCCAAATTTTTTATTTTTTTTTTTGTGGTACGCGGGCCTCTCACTGTTGTGGCCTCTCCCGTTGCGGAGTACAGGCTCCGGATGCGCAGGCTCAGCGGCCACGGGTCACGGGCCCAGCCGCTCCACGGCATGTGGGATCTTCCCGGACCGGGGCACGAACCCGTGTCCCCTGCATCAGCAGGCGGACTCTCAACCACTGCGCCACCAGGGAAGCCTATGAACCCAAATTTTTACTAGCTAGATGTCACATAGTAATGTTTAGTTTGGCTTTGAATGAATGAGTCGTCATTATGCTTATGTTATCCAAATTAAATATCTATTTTCATTTGCATGTAGTCAGTCCTATTAAAAATTTATAATGTATAGTCATGGACTGATTAATTACCAGAAGCATGAGCTTTAGATTGGTTATATTTTTCCTTCTGGTTCAAAAAAAGGTCATTTTAAAATGCAACAATTGGGGCTTCAGTAAAATCCATCTGTGAAGCACCACAGAAAAAGATGTATAAGGTTAGGATTGTCATGTGTGTGTCAAGTCATGTTTTCCCATATACATCTAAACACAGGGGTGATATTCAAAATATTTAAAACTGTTACCACACAGGCACTGAGAAACCTAGACAGGTGCTTGTGGTCCCTGCCCATAGTGATAAATTGCTATTATAGCAATGCTGAAATTCTGGTTGATCATTATTATTACATTCAATAACGGTCTTACATAGCTTTTTTGAATATTAGGAAATATGATATTCTTAATTATGCTCCATAACACACCAACTAGCAGAACAACGTCACAGATTGAAAATGAAATTCTAGAATTTCTTCCTTTTACATACCACAAACTGCAGTTACCCAAATGTCTGGCAATGCCTGCTAGTATCTTCGTAAAGGCAGGTCACAATAGCTCTCGAGCTTTACAGATTAAATTCAGAGACTATGAGACATTCTCTTTAGTCAGCTCTTTCACCCATAGTCTTGGGTAGAAGTCAACACCAGAACCATTCTGGGGGTCCTAATTTAGTCAAAGGTCTCTGAGATGTGATACAAACCAATTCTCCTTCGTTGCAAAGGAGTGATTAAAAAAAGCAAAAAAAAATCAAGTCTTAGAAAGCAGCTAGATTGTACCACTTGCCCTGAAGCATTTTAGAGCAAGAAAATGCCAAGGATTAGAGCAGAGCTTTCTTTCCATGGGAGCTGAAGGCTTCAGAACTTGCTATGTGCCCAACTTCATATTCAATCCTGGTTCTTGGGTCAATCTGAAGGCTCAAAGGGTATTCATCACAGTGCTGCCCATGTGTAAATCAGGGGCCATCTTGGCGTTACAGTGCATAGGTTCCCATTTCTTGCTGTACTATTCATCAAGAGACTGAGTTCAAAAGAGTAGGGAAATAACTACCATGTTTGGAACATAATGTGTTCTTTTTTTATCTCCCTCTAGTTTCTACTAGTCTCTAAGCACTTTAGAGAAGTAGTACTCTCTCTAGTCTTAAAGCACTCTCCAGCCATACCAAAATTGTCATGGTTGGCTAACAGCCCTTCCAGATCTCCTGCCTATGTATAGGCTATGCCATGTGGCTGGTGGCTGGACTGCCCTTCCTCCCCACTGCCCACCTGCTGAATTCATCCCTCAAGCTTCATCTCAAAAGTCAGTTGTCTTGTGAGACTTTCTTTGACTCCAGCTAGAATCAGGTGTTATTTCCACCCGTTCCCATTCCTCTCTTGTAGCGCTTACCACTATTATCATTATTCGTACACAAGCCTGAATCCCTGGCTAGTCAGTTCCTTCAGGCCTGGGATGGTATCTCATTGAGGCTTGCTCTGGTTGGCACAGAGGAAGTGCTCAATCCATGTCTGCTGCATAAATCAACAGTGAGCAGGTAGATGGAAGTGGGAAGAAAGAACTCTCAGTATTAAATCCCAGGAACTCCATCTGCATCATGAGTCATAGTTAGACTCTGCATTACTACATTAAAGACGCCATACTGTGGGATACCTAAATTATTGTTCCCTTTCTAAGAGCCCACCCGCTGAGGTCTTCTTTCCCCCAGGTGAGACTAGCTCTGACACTGCATACACTACTGCCCACCCAAACCAAGGAAGCAATATGGTCCTTAGAGTCTCATCCCAGCTCTAGCAGATACATCTGGGCTGCCTCCTGCTCAGAGCCTAACTTGGTTTTCCCTAACAGTCATCTAAAGAATCCTTATCTTGTGGACTTACCAGTTAACTCTGCCACAGTGCCAGTGACTTGGCTCCAAAGCCAGCAGAGATGCCCCTCTGTACAGGCATGCGCACAGACTGTTAGATTTGCTGCTAAACTTGGGAGGAGACACTTTAGCAACTGCTTCTCTCCTTAGTAAGAAACGTCTTCACATTCTTTCTTAGCGGCTAACACCCCTACGCTAGAATTTGGCTGTAGCGAGTCCTAAAGTATTAATCTGAGAAAGACCTGGGTTTTAAAAAACTCATTGAATTGTACTGAAGAGTTCAGACCTGTCTCCTCATCAGCTACAAGGGAAAAAGAATCTCAGAGATGGAAGTTGACTCTGACCCACAGCAATCCCCAGGGGCCAGCCCCTGCACTTCTGGTTATCCACCAACATCAGTTTCCTCCGGTATTGATCTAGTTTCTCACTCACATATTGCAATGAACACTCACGCCCCTCCCGTCAAAACTTGTACAGCCTCCTGGGTTATATCTGAACCACCATTAAACTCTAATGTAGTCTATGTAGGTTTAACTATTTCTGGGGATCTGAATTCTAGGCTTGTTTCAACTACTACTGTATTTTGAAATATATCGTACACGTTATCTCCATACATCACTGTTCTTTATCAATATAAGTGATGTGCAATACCAACACAATCAAGTACCAATAGTGTGTTAGCATGCAATCAGTTATATTAACTAAGTACCCATGTATTCAGCTATAAAGATGTCTACAGATTTAAAAAATTAAGTTAACCTATTAACGTAACTTGGGGGGAAAAACTCCATGGGAATGTCTGATATATTGGCTCTCAGTAAAATGACAGAAGTGATACAATGAAATCCAATAATTCAGGAGAAAAACATCTCCAAGTACACTCACCCACTATGTTTCATGTGTGGTGGTTTATCCATTCGCACTGCCAGTTTGATCTTTAAGTCAGAGTCCTGGCTATTTTTTGGAACGATCATTCGGTGCAACTCAGCTGACTTGGAGCTATTAGAAGTTGGGTATAATATCACCTGTAAGGGACAGAAATAACACATTTAGGTGAATACAGAACGTCTAAGGAGTAGAACTGAAATCTTTTCTATACATTTTCCTGTTTGAAAAGGTGGTGTCATGCCCAAATGTGTCTAATAAACCATTTCACTCCCACCACAGCAGATGGGTTTTCAATACAGACTGGTTTATTTATTTATTTTTTTGACAAATACTGTGTTTTCACATTATCACATAACGAGTTTTCTTCCTGTGTCACTTCATAATGAATTAATAGCACGGCGGCTACGGTTGAATTGACAGTTGAAAAATACTTAATAGACACCTATAATTTCAAGACCACTCTAAACTCCTCAGAGCAAAGAAGTTCAGAAAGAAATATTCTTTGAAATTACAAATAGCATGCTCAAAAAGCAAAACCAATTATTTGAAGCAGCAAAAATATACCTCATGTTTTAATATTTTCATTGCAAAGCAGTGTTAAAGGAAATCAACCCAATTAGAGATGGAAAAGACGGATCGTCGCATTTTCTGCTCTAGATCAATATCAGAGAAGGATTTTTTTCCTGACTACATGTTCTCAAAACTATAAAGATGATATTATGATGACTGAAACAAAGTAATTATTTTTAATAAAACTGCCAAATTATCAAGTCGTTATTTCACAATCCCACATTCCACAGAGCCAACACAGGAAAGAAAAGCTTACTCTTCAGATGTTACGTACCACGTAGATTTAAAAAAAAAAAAAAGGTATTTTCCCCTTTTAGTCAGTCATGACACTACTTAGACACAGCCTATATTCAAGCCTTAATGAATATTTTTAAATGGGAGCACTATATTCTGAAGGATAAAATGAAGATATGAAATGCAGTAATCATATTTTAAGCCATTTCTTATTTTAAAGCAACGTGAAAAGTAAAAAAGCTTGAAGTTTCTAAGAAAATGAAAGAACTATAAACATGCTCAGGTAGGATAAAATGTTTTCAGAGCACATCATGGCAACTGAATTTGACATGCTCTGTCAAAAAAAAAACCTTCATTTCCATGTGTGAGTGAAAATATGCATGGAGAAATCTTCAGGCAAGGCTCTTTCTCTCTCTAGGAAAAACAACATAGTCACAGTCTCCAACTTCCAAGTTGTTAAATATATCTACTATTTTGAGACTTTTCTCAAACCTACCCATAGCCAGGTTCAGTCCAGCGTATCTACACACGTCAGCATATAAAGGCTCAGCCCAAAGCAGATTAAACGGCATTTGTGACGTTTTCAAAAATTATGATCAGATTCTAGAAAGAGTTCTTTTTGACCGCTGAAACAGCCAATGGAATATTTTACAGATTCTTTCTTAAACAACAGTAAAGGAAAATAAATTAGTAATTTCTGGCTCAAACCAGCAGACAAAGGTATATCATTTTCAACTCAGAAGGTGATTCCACAAGAAGAGTCAAAGACTAAAGAGCTATACATCCTCTGTAGCTTTTACTGCTATTTCCCAGCAAGTCTGAAAAGCTTTTTCTATTTCTCCCCACCCCATCCTTTTAAAAAGAATTTGGCACGAACCACCTACAGACTTTATTCCTTTTTAATTCTTCTTTCTATGTTTATATGAACATTGGTATTGTTCCAAACTCTAAATGTCATATACAGGAAGAGAATATTTAAATTAAAACTTTCGACAATTTCTCATTCTCTAAATGCCAATAATGGGTTACTAAAAAAGGTCCCCAAATAACTGCAGTTTATCCCCAATTAAGGATCATCTCAGTACTGAACACCATCATTTCTGCCACATTTTCATTTTCTGATGGGTACCTCTAACTGAAGTCGGTGGAAGGATTTCCTGCGTTATCTCTGTTCAATTAAACATTTGAGTGCTTACTCTGTGGGGACACAGAAAGATGAAAGAATATGGAAGACTCCATAAGGAGTTGATGGTTTCTTCTTATCAAAGCTAAAAACTCAGATAATATCTGGTAATATCACTTCTTTCTCTTGCCCTTCTATCCCTAGGGTGTGCAGCAGTTTTCCGATACTGTTAGTCTCTGGGTTCATTCACCATCGTTTGTTTGGCTTCTCTGTTCTATCACACATGTAGCTAACTCCCCGTGTTAAATTTCCACCATTTGAATGGCCTGGAATTTTCTGTCTTTCTGGACAGACTCTAATAAAGGTGTAAACACTGCCACATGTAACAAATGAAGGCCCAGAGATATGAAATCTATTACTTCTTAAAATGGTACTGGTGAACAAACTCTGTTAAATTGTTACCAGGTTCCCAAATTGTACAAGCAGAAAGTGATCATACTCCTTTCCATGATCCAGCCATGGACGATAACAGACAAGGAAGAAGCACCCAAATGTGTAGAGCCCAAAGGGCCAGGGAGAATAAAGGACAAAACAATTCTTTTCAGATGCATAACAAGGGTCTAATCAAGAGATCCTGAACACTGTCAGGCAGGGTGTCTTCACAGTGCCTGCCATGACAGCATCTCACTGCTCTCCCTGGACACGTATTTCCCACTTCACCTTTTTTTAGAATGGGAAGCTTAATTGTAGCTTTCCTGCCCCCTGCTCCACTGCTATATACTGGATTTGTGCTTGAGCAGGGTGGGGAGGGGAGACGGAACAGCAGGCAGTGAACACGAACCCTAGCTCATTGGGCACCAGGCTGCAAAGAGCCACAGCTGGACCTGATTGAGATGCTGGACCTTGAACTGGAAGTAAGGACAGGATGAAGCTTTGGGTTGTCTCCCTTGAAGTAAATGCATTCTATGGGTAGTTGGAAGGGTAACAGAATTGTTGTTACCTTGGCTATAGGGGTGAGCTATGGCAGATGATCTAACGTGTTCACCAGGATTCATGCTTTCCCTAGTATAGAACTGTTGCCAAGAAGCAGCTAGCCAGCCATATTTTCTAGCTCCCCTGGCATCTAAGCAGGGGCACATGAAAGTTGTAGCTAATGGAATATGAAGAAAAGTGGTAAATCGTTTTGGGGAATGATGATTAAGATATAGAAGTGAAGAAGGTATGCCGTCTTCACTCATCTGCTAGCCAAATGCAGAGGACTCCAATGCTCTAGCAAATAAGAGAGCCCTAAGAGGGAAGAAACTAGGGCCCTGAATCACCACACGGAGGAAATCTACCCATCCATCAGGAACACCCATGATAAACTGTTATACAGGCACTATCGTTTTAAATTACTGAAATGTTGTCATTTGTTACAGCATTTAGTATACCAACTAGTACATTAACACAGAGTTTTGCTGCATAAGACTTGCACAGGTAGTAAGTGCTTGAAGAATTTTCTTTCACGATAAGCAGATAAACAGTTCTACTTCAACACGACTTAGTTCACGTTCAGAGAGGGATGTCTGATGTTGATGGTACAATAATTAGAATACTTAAGAGACATAATTTACTTCTTCTTGTATTTTAGGTTCACACATAAGTTAAATCGTAGCTCTGTACAAAATAGTTAGCTTCTTACAGAATTTAGCAAAGTAGCTTATTCTTTGCTATTCATTTCTTAACTTTTCTACACGTATTTCTGCTGCTTCTAGTCTTTTAGTTTATTTTTGTCACCAACACTTTAAATGCCTTGTCATTTAGCATAACACAACACATTTTATGATTTATCTTAAATATAAAGCCAATGTATCTTCTTCATAATAAAACGTCAACATTACTTTCCATTTTTGCTAAAGTGTAATGGAAAACACAAAATGTTTTTTTCAGGCTTTGTTTAAAATTCTGTCAAATTTAATAGAGTCAAAACTTAAAATGAAGTGTAAAAATACATATGTACATAACATCTAGAGTATATGGGGTACAGAAGGATCTTTCTCTTAAAATATACTTGTACAAACTGACACCTCTACATTATTTTTCTTCTATTAAGATACATTAATTAAAGCCAAGCCATGTGCATCTGTACATATACATTATTTGAACTTTGTGGCCTATGAACTCACGATTTTCTAAATTTCTAAACTGTTTCAAAACTAAAAACCTAAAAACTGGGAGGAACAATCTAGAAGAACTGAGAGGGAGCTAGGTAGACTCTGGGGTGAGGTAAAGAATTCACTGTCTTGTCCCATAAATCTCTCTTAGTCCAGAGGAAGAAAAAAAAAGACCACATGACTGCAGCAATTGCACTGTGGTCTTTGAGTAAAATAATACAGCTACATTTCTGGTATGAATCTAGCTCAGAGATAAGTGCCATCAACAATTCTTAAAGGAATCAGGACAGACTTCATAGAGGAATCACTGCTTCATTTTGGAGTCTAAAAGAATACATAAGATTTCTAAGATATTGTAAGATACAATATACAAGACACAATAAAAGACACAGGGAAGGGACTGATAAAGACATGAGGCCATTGGAACTGACCCACCCTTAGAAAGTAGGCACACAATCCTGATGCTGACATTCTTACCACTGCCTTTGCTTCTCAAGCCCTTCCCCAAGCGTGACTGGTCAGCTCTTTGTTCCCAGGGGCCTATCCTTAGTCAGTTTCCATTGCTTGCCACCAAGGGAACTTCAACCAGTACAAACGTTCATGACATTTTTTGCCATGTCAATTCTCTACCTTACAAAAGGTAAGGGGAGAGCCCTGTGGAACAGTAACTTTTAAGGGTTAAGAAAAGGAAGAGAACTCTATAATCAAGACCAGAGGCCAAGGAGACAGAAGAAAAACCAGAAGGCTGGGGTGCACGACATTCAAGGCAGAGAGTGTTTCGGGGAACAGGAAGTGGCTGTCAGTGCCAAATGACACTCAAGAGGTCAAGCGTGGCAAGGAAGGAAAGGCTACTGCTTGGTTTAACAACAGAGAGGTCACTAGAGATCTCAGCAAGAGAAAGTTTAGGTGAGGCCAGACTATAATGGCTTGAGGGATAAAGTCTATGAGAGGAATGGAGGAAGACATCACTTAATTCTTAAATGAACAAGATGGGGTGAGATAAGCAAGATCGTTTTGGCTGGAAGGGGGATTGTGTACAAAGGCGGGGGCGGGGTGG